GGAAATTGCGGTGTCGAAAGATAGTTCAGTATAAGGGATGTCAAATAGAACATTTAAAACACAAGAATTTTATGTAATTTAGTTTTGTGAATACAATATACATTGTCTAAAAAATGTGTACAGCCTCTGTATTATAGCGTATTGTACAGTACTTACAAGTGTTGATAGGCATGCTTAACATCTCGGTCAAAGTAAGCTATTTGATCGACACAGCGCCTGCACTTAAAATTTCTTAGCCAGCCGTTATTTGCTTTAAAGAATGAACAGCCAAGCTTCTGAGTTAAGATCTTAGCTTTTTCACAAAGAAACGGACCCGAAATTGGGTTTCCCGTAGAACGTTGCTGCAAAAACCCACTTGAAAACCACATCTAAATTTTTGTTTGTTTCTGCCTTCATTGATTTTCTTGTAGAGCTTCCTTCTTCGTTTTCAAGCTTCGTTTCAAGAAGTTTAAAAGTGTAGGTTTGCTCCTTTTAATATCTGAAATCGTTGATTGTCCAACACTACGTTTCCATCTTAATTTTTTTTTCTTAAATTCTGAAAGCGATTCGGATGATAGAATTGTACTGTATTTAATTTCCACATATGATAAGCACTTCGAATTTACAATGCAGGCTTTACCATTCATAAAACGAATAAATAAAACGAGCAGATGTACGAAGAAAGAGAAGTCACTTACCTACATTTAGCAACAGGAGTGTATCCTATTGACAGACTCCGTACCGGTAAAAACTTGCTTCTACATTGTTTAGAATGAGATACATCATCAAAGAGGACATTGTCAGAAGCCTTTGTATATTTTGAGACTTGCTACATCTCCTGTGTTATCTCGTAATCTTTGAGACACGTTGATCCTAACCTCGTTGGTTCTCTGCCAATAACAAGAACAGGTGTTAATCCGAAAACCTTTCAATCGGACAAAATCTTCGTTGATATAAATATACATCGAAGAGATGTTGGCTCATATTTTTAACTGACATTTATTTTTAAACGAAAGTATTGTATTTTTCGTATTGTAAAGATACCTCTGAGGTAAAGAAAAAGGTATACGTTACAATTCAGTTTCCTAAAAATCTTATATGCAAAAGTCAGAATATAGTTTCACCATGTATAAACACTATTTACTGCATAAAGGTTATATTGTAAGGACGCACACATTAGTGATCCTCGGATCCTATGACATTGTAACCGTTTTTCTGTAAACAACATTTTTTTAAATAATACAAATTTGTTACATTTTGTAACACTGTTTTATAACTTTTGTTACATTTTGCAAACTTCTATAAACAACGTTTTGTAACCATTCTTCTATAACCACAAACGCCGGCTAGCTCTAAAAGTATTTATTGATAGAGCCCAAAAGCAGTTACAAAGAAAATATACATCAAAACAGAACATACATCAAAACGGAGTACCTAACATTTAGAATTAACGTTCGAGTCACGGAGATACAATATTGAAAAACTAACCCGATCGCAGGCGGAGGTTGATTGATTGTAATTTGTTATCGTTGCCACTAGATGGCGTTCGATACAATAGTTCGGTTACATCCAAACGGGTTACTTTTTCAGGGCTGTTAGATTACTTGAAATGTAGTCAAGAAGTCTAGTTCTATAATTTACTGACCTACTGTAAAGTATAAAATTTGTTGTAGATTTTGAAAGCCAGGACCAATGGTATTAATTCACCAACTGGTAACTGCATCTTTTATGGGGATCGGAAGAGAAATGTCGATAAATAATATATTGCTTTACCACTCTTTCCTTTGTCACATAAAACAATCAGACTTCTTAAAATTTTACGTGCCTTTTTCATTCTTTCTTTTATATTGACCTACATGAGTCAGCCATTTCATGAACGACACTCGACCGTTCCAAAGCAAATAACGCTTTTGAGGACTCAATATAATTGCATTCTATACTTTGTAGATTAAATTATTCTATATCTCTTCATTTCTACTAGTTTTTTTCAGGATAATAATATGCTCTTTAATCTAGAGGTTTTAAAATGTGTACTTACGTATGTATTAAAAAGTGAAATTTCCGTGAGTCATAGGATTATATTTAAATATTATGTAATAAAAAATGCAGCACAGTTTTAGTAATTCTACATTAAATAAAAGAATTCCATCGGTTATTCTTATAAAACTAACACAGTTTCAGCGCCGTATTTTCTGAAGGAGATGCATTGCATTGATTTTTAATGTTTTTAAAAGACGGCGCCACTATGCATTTTATTTTAAGCTTCTCCTTTTTTATACAAGAGGGCAGCACCACACATAGCAGAAACTTAACAGATGAGACTTTTTCTTCGGGCAAAAATCCAGAACTGACCACTAATGATCTAATTTTCCATTTTAGTGAAATTTTATATTTATAATATCTACATATATTCAATTGAAGACACAGCGGACTTTGTAATTTATCATTTTTACAAGTTACTAAATTATATGTTTATGTTTTTTCTCTTCTTATACGACAGACGTTTTGATATATATCATTAAAGCCAGCTTCAAGCATAAGCAACTTTTGTTAGCGCTAAAGAACTCATTTTCGGAAGGTACCATTTAAATATCTCCCAAGCGACAGTTAACTAAAGGTTATTGCCTTGAGTTAATATATTTAATTAATGTAGCGCCAAATGTAGTGTTCACCTAGTTCGTCTAAAATACTGGAAATGAAGCACGTATATTATGAACTATTAAATATATAGATTAAAAACTAATAATTATAGCTTATATATATACTATTTAATTTATAGAAGTAAGTGCAATCATTCGTTTTACTTAACTGTGAATAGTTAACGAAATATCAGCCAGCAAGATTAAAAAACCGAAAAATATTAATTTAGTTTAAGTAGATAAAAAGGGTGTTAATTTTGATATTTTAATCTTTTTTGATGAGGTGTTGACTAAAAAATTGAAAAAAAGTATTTATTCTAAAAGTGTTTTAGTAATTTTTATTCATTGATCTTATTTTTTATATTTATCTTTTATTCATTTTCCTTTTTATTCCCATTTTACATTTATTTATTTATTCATTGATCTTTAATTTGTTTTAATTCATCGATCTTTTAATTCATTTTGTATTTATTTTTTATTCCTATATCTTTTTATTCATTTTATATTTCATTCATATTTATTTAAATCATTGATTATCTTTTGCAAAGAGATTAGAAATAGAATAAGTATTATTGCTTCTGATTGAATAGACTTTTAATTTTCGAAAATGGCAACAGAGTTTGAAATAGTACTTCTTTTGTAAAACTAAATAGCAGTCACAAATGAAAATGAAACTTCATAATGTCAATGAATTATACTGAATTGTGTAATTAAAAGTAAACTGCGCAGTCTATTTCATAATCATTTAATAATTGATTACAGAAGGACAAAAATACAAAGGCGATCTATAAGATCAGACGTGAATAAAAATGCCCGTGTTCCCAATATATTCAACACTTACACTCTGCATAAAAAACAAAAACAAGCTGGGGGAGGGCGACAGTTCTGTTTGAAAAAAAAAAAAAAAAAGAAAAAAGAAAAAAAAACTTTTTCTAAAAGTCATATCCATTTTTTTTTTTTCGTATTTTTATTCTCAGACTCAAATTATGTGCCAAGTTTTATAAAATCGCAAGCGTAGTTTTTAAATAATTAGATCTCAAAATTTTAGCTCCTCTATGTTAATTGACTTTGGTATATATTTATTAATATCGCATTCCTCCTTTCACAGTTCGAAATTTAAGATGAGTCCATATAAAACTCACAAATATTTTCTAGTTTATTTTTAAATTTTTATTTTTTATTTTTATTAATTTTTTGAAAACACTTTTTAATTATAAAATTTATACCATCCTCTTAAAATAGTTATATTTCTAGGGATACCCGAAACAAATTACAGTTTCTTTATTCAAAGTTTCCCAAGGAGCCCACCAGCGGCCGAGCGGTAAAGTCGCTAAACACTGGTAGTTCGGTCCGAGGTTCGAATCCCGCGAACGGGCTGGCTGCATGGGTGTTTTCGTGGTTTTCCCCATGTGTAACGTGTATACGAGCCAGTTTCCCTTAGAAAGTCCTTCACGAAAGGCATCCCTCCCTTTAGGCAGATAGCCCTCGAGGCTTTGCCATAATCACACACACACACAAAGTTTCCCAAGATGTAGTACGTGAATTTTAATACTGACGCGTTTTGAAATTTGCCGTAATTGTTATAAGCGATAATAACACCAAATGTGGTTGGTTTACGTACTGTGTTAAAATTATTTGAAAGAAGTACTTTTTTTCGGCTCGTACCCAATGAAATTGAAAAGAAAATTATTATGTTATTATAGGTTACCGTAAATTAAGAATTTCGCCAAGGGACTTATTCTCCGCGCAAGCTGACAAGATAAATTTTTTAATTTCTCGGTAAATATCTCATCAAATTTTACAAAATTAATATTTAAGCATAATTCATGTAGTAGAATCGAAATATAGAAAGAAATTTATATATTATTTCAGAAAAAAGTCCGGTTTGATGACGAAATATACCTGCGTTAGAACAATGCTATAAATCTAATATACATTCGAAGTCACGCTTGTGAAACATGGAAACACAAATTAAACTTCGTCAAACGGCCCAGTAAATAAAATTTCACCACCCCCTTCCTTTTTTTCTGTGCAGAGTGTACGTCACATAAAGTATTGTATAGATAGAGAGAGTAGAAAAGGAATTATCTTTGCGAGAGTTGCTCAAATAATTTTGCTTTCCACGTACATAGTAGTCTTTCGTCAAAGCATTCATTGTGATCCAAATAATGTGCTACGCAGCTGTAAACGATAAATGAATAAGTAAATAAATAAATAAAATGAATGTTAATATTAATCAGTTCGATATTTAATTCGCGCCTGATGGCATTGATCGTAATGGTAATTTTTTTATTATTATTTTATATAAGTATATGATTGCTGTAAAATAGAAACTATTAAGATTTGCTATGTGAAAAATAATGTTAATTGTTTCAATCCCAGGAAACTACACCAATCGGCAGCAAACACAATGTGACTCCTAGACCTTTTGCTCCTTTGGGCGGTGGAAAAATCTTAGTGAATAATCAATACAACACCCCAGCTCCTCTCTATTCCATGAACAACATAGCAGACACCCTCTCGGCCCATACTGAAGTTCTGGCATCCGGAGCTAAAGGGTAAGAACCACTATAATTAGTGGACTAAGTAATAACATTTAGTCATGGCATTTTGAAAATTTGTAAAATAAGGAACACGAATGTGTTAGCTTTATTTTCCTAACCGAGAAAACGAAAATCAAGTTTCTATACATTCATTCATTAAAAATAGCCCAACCAATGATCTGTACTTGGACCGCATTTGGCCAGTCCGAAAACATGAAGTTAATACGTGCCAGATTTTTCTTTAAAACGCCCTGCTTGAAGGCATCCTTCCTCACAGGCAGATAGCCTTCGAGTTGCTTTGCCTTAATCAATCGGCTTACTTTAACCTAACCGGAAAAAAAACGGCTTGGCCCAAACCAAAACAGGTTCGTGTTCCACAGTGTCCATAGAATTCCTTATGCGGCCTTTACTTTCAACATTGTTGGTCGCAGACATATACGAGGGCATTTCGAAAAGTAAAGATACACCGTACGCCAGAGGAAAAGAAAAGTTTTGGTGAGCAAGTTGGCAACACAGGTGTTAACATTGAACCGTTAGCCTTCTCCTCGCGGTCGTTCGGCATTTCAACGTTGATTCTGGTTGGAGTAGGTCGTGTTTAAAATGGCTGCGCCGATTCAGAATCCCGCCAAACGCGAAGTCCGCTCCGTCATACGTTTTCTTCATGCAAAAAGTCAGCGACCAGGGGATATTCACAAAGAAATTGTTTCTGTTTATGGGAACATTATGAATCGACAAAATGCAACAAAATGGTGTCGTCATTTCTCTGAAGGTAGGACCGATGTTCATGACGAACAAAGAACAGGTCGGCCATCTGTGATCTCTGATGCCCTTCTTCAGAGAACAAAGGAAGCAATTCGTGCGAATGGACGTCTCAAATTGAAAGAATTGCATCAGATCATACCGGAAGTGTCGATGACAACTCTTTATGAAGTTGTGACTGTCAAGTTAGGGTACAGGAAATTGTGTGCGTGCTGGGTTCCAACAGGCGGCAACCTTCTATGACTGTGGGATACGAAAGCTTGTGCACCAACTTAACAAATGTTTGGATAACGGGGGGGGTGATTATGTCGAAAAATAATAAATAATCCAGTTAATAAGATGTAACTGACGTTTTCTAAATAAATGTTTTTTTTTAAGGAATGCGAGCCATTGTATTTTTACTTTTCGAAATGCCCTCGTACTTCCAACTACAAAAATGAGTTAAATATGCATTTTTGGCAAATGTACAAAAGCTTTTATATTCTTAACAGTTCGTACATTATTGTTGCGTGCATACGGGGTCATAATGGGCTGAATGCACACAGAACCCATATAGCTTCGTACCATTTATTTTCCCAAAAGAAACAATTTGCAGTACTGGAACTTTCACAAAATTACTCGTACAAATCTCTTATTATCACAGACCACAATCAGTAGCTAACACTTCAAACTACCAATAACGTTAAAGCCAACGCGATGCAAATCTGACTTAAACAGCGAATCCTGCACGGAGATCTCTCAGTACTCCGAAGTTAACTCTTAACTAAAATTTAAGAAATGATGCTTTCTCTAATCTTATACAGTTTTCTCAAGGTCGTTGAGAAATTTCCAGTATCTTCGATTTCTCGAAATTTCTGAAAGGCATCTACAGCCTGAGTAAAAACTTTAAGGCCAGTAAAAATTTTTGAGAAAATGTAAAAGGAAATAAAAGAGATTCAAATAATATTAATTATAAAGTTCATTGATAAGAAATAAATGCTATAAGCATAATTTGTAAACACATAATATTGAGAAACATGTGGTTATTTACAATAATAATACATTCCAGTAATACATTCCAGTAGTTACACAAAAAATTGGTTCCAAGTCAACAATTTTGAAACTGTGAAATGGCCAGCTAGATCACATGACCTCAACCCAATCGAGAACCTTTGGGGTGACTTAGCAAGAAGAGTTTATGCAAATGGGAGAAATTTTACATCAACAACAGAGCTGAAATTTACTATCGAAGATGAATGGTATGAAACCGACCCCACCCTTTGTCAAAAACTCGTTTCATTCATGAAAACAATAATATTTGAAGTAATTCGAAGAAATGGCTCTTGCACAACATTCTAAGAATTCGTAATTTTTTTCTTGTATGTTATTTTCTATGTTGGCCTTAAAGTTTTTACTCAGGCTCAAATATTCATATGTATGTTCTGTAATATTTTCTAATAATAAAATACTTGTAAATTAATTTTTCTACTTTTTTTACTTTTATTTAAGCTTAATAATTATCCATCAAATGGTATTTTCATTCCTCAGTTTAAATGCTTCCATTTTCTCAAGCATTTTTACTGGCCTTAAAGTTTTTACTCAGGCTTTACAGTTGCAGTTACATATAGGGCCGGATACAGTTAGAGTTACATGCAGGAATCTGTTTACAGTTATGCGAGGACCCGACCAAAACGTCCAAAAATGCGTCTAATTTTCGCTATTTTTCGCGAAATTTGGCGACAAAAATTAGTCGCCAAAGCCATCGTCACCTTGGCGATCTCTCGCGAGTCTGCAAAGATAGCCATTTACCTCAGTGTTAGATGAACTTGCCCCTGTAGTCGTATTTTTCTGCCAAAGCTTCGTATCTCTTGAGGTCATTCTTGATACCTTATACAAAATTCGTACCATTATTTAAATAACACAAGATATAAAATTCAGTTTTAATATAGTGTTAGACACTCCACTACCGAAGCATTCAATCAGTGTTGAGTTCCAAAGAGAGCTTTGTCATGTCATTTTAGCAGATTCATGTGGTGACTTATTGGTATTAACTTTTCATCAGCAGTGTCTTTTACACTGAATCCTATAAATAGTTTCCTTGTTATATTCTTGAGCTGCATATTTCTGATATAATGGTTATTCCTTTCCAGTATAAACTTTATGAAAGAGGAGCCGCCTGTAAATAAAGAATCCGCAGTTTATCGTATGATCATGGAAGAGAAAGAAGGTGGCACGGATCACTTTAATCATGTCGACCAACAGCCATACAGGAAAGGTATGTTTCAGAATTTATAATATCCAACTCTTAAATTTAATGGCGTTTGTTCCTTTGCACGCTCTTACTAATCTTAACAAGCAAACATTATTTACTAGGTAGATGTAATTTATTGCTGTAAAGCATTTTGAGAATCGTAGCATCCTACAGGGAGGGGCAACTATTGCAAGAGTACTAATTCAGAAGTCAAACAACAAAAATCAGCGTTAATTTACAAAACTTTCACAGGACTAGTTTCGATGGTTTTACCGAACCATCATCTTCAGCTGCAAAACCGCAAATGAACAAGATAGGAATAATGTTTAGATAAGATAAGAAAGAATGGACAAGAATAAGCAAGTGGCGCCATCTGTTGGCGAAACCAGAACTAAAACATAATTTCTCTAAAAGCCGAAGGCAAATTTGGATTGGAATTAGGATCGTTAACTAGAACAGAAAGATTTTTATGAATGTGAAATGCCTCTAGAAAATCCAGTTCTCCAATGGAAGATGTTTTTTGAATAATTTTGGCAGCAGAAAAATTGAAAGTGTGATTTTCGGACCAACAATGTTGAGCAACAGAAGACTTCTGTGTTTCCTTTTTTCTAACATATGCCTCACGTTCTTTGACGCGAAATTTTAAGGCTCTCTTAGTTTGGCCAATGTAAATTAAACCGCACTGGCAAGGAATCCTATAAATACCCCAGGAATTCATATCCGGAATGGGGTCCTTGAGTATAGAAGTTGGAATTTTATTGATGGGAGAGTAAACAACCCGAAAGTTAAATTTCTGCAAAATATGTGCAACTTTATAGCTAATTGATGGAAAGAAGGGAATGACAACAGAATTTTTATAATCTCCTAAAATAAGAGTGTGGCTTTTAGTGTGTTGAGATGAGAATTTTTTAACTGCTTGATTAATAATGTTGGGTGAAAAGCCCCTGTCAATAGCTATTGCTTTTAAATAATTTAGTTCTTCATCAAGGGCTAGTTTGGAGGAGCAAACTTGAAGAGCACGGAAAACATAGGAATAAAATGAAGCTAACTTTTGTTTAGTCGGATGACATGATTTAAAGTGTGGTGGAAGGCAAACCGATGAAGGTTTACGGTAAACTGTAGTACTGAAGTTGGATGTGTTACGTGTGACCAGAATGTCGAGAAACGGAAGAGAATTGCAAGTCTCAAGTTCAAAAGTGAACTGAATAGCAGGATCAATAGAATTCATTGTTGAAAGAACTCTATTTAAATCATCTTTATTACCTTCAAACAGGGTAAAAGTATCGTCTATGTAGCGGAACCATGCCGGGAAGTTTAAAGTTTCAAACAATTTTGATTCATAATAATGCATGTAGATATCAGCCAGGATGGGACTGAGGGGGCTTTCCATGGCTAATCCCTCAGTTTGCTTGTAATATTTATTTTGGAAAACAAAATGTGTTTGTTTCAAACAGAGTTGAGTGAGAGAAATTAGCTCATCAATTTCGATGCAAGAGAAATAAAATTCGCGAAGTCTGGTTTCTAGACATCTTAATGCACCCTCCACTGGGACATTGGTGAATAATGATTTTACATCAAAAGAAACCATGAGTAAATTACGAGGAGAAATGTTTTTAACCTTTTTTACAAACTCTACTGAATTTTTTATGGTGTAAATGTTATTGTCTAATAGAGTGGAAAATCTAGAAACTAAATATTTAGCTAATGGATACGAGGCAGTACCTAAATTTGATACAATAGGGCGGAAAGGAATACCACTTTTATGAATTTTGGGAAGAGCATATAATCTCTTTCTTAATAATTTGTGTCTTAATTATTGCAAGAGTGCAATCCGTAGCATTGTTTCGCTTCGAATGACGCGAGTACTGAGAGTGTACTGCTTGGAAATGGTGTTTCTATTTAAAATAAATAAATAAAAAGTCCGATTACTATTGCAAGGAGGGTTTTCACCCTGTATGAAGAAAATTGCTTTTCACGAAAAAGTGTCCTTAACTCCTTAACCTACGATTTAGATTCGAAGATGTTGGGCCGAAATTGTATGCACGCACGACTTGTGTAACACGCTAATCCGGGCAATCGTAAACATGACGAATTATGTAATTTTCGAAGAAAGTATAGGCGAATAATTATTGATGATACATCCGATGACGATCAACTACCAGAGTCCTGGCTTTGGAAAGAAGTAAGAAATAGTCCAAAAATCTGGTACTATACGATGACCCCTGGCATAACAGAGGAAGCCTTATGTCAATTAGGAGGAAGTAGAGGAGAATTTGATATATTTAATCTAATATTTGATGACATATTTTGGAACAATATTGTAACCGGAACGAATCAGTATGCAGATCAAGTACGAGAAAATCCGCATAGAACACGAGTGTAAAAAGTGTAAAGTTCCGTTACATGTACCAGAATGCTTTGAAGACTGTAATTGCGTATCAAGTATTCCACGTAACATTCACTTCTGGCCCGATCACCGTACATGGGCTATGCCCGTGAAAGTTAGGTTTGGCCCGACCATCGTACGCGGGCTATGCCCGTCATTGTAGATTAAGGGGTTAAGCGGAAAGCTCTTTCATGTTTGTGAAGACCTATGGGAAAATCAAAGGTCTGATCAGCCAAACGTAATCGGTAAGAATGAGCTCAGGAAACAGCTGGATGAATATGTGAAGTTGGATCGCAGGATGAATTTTGCCGTCAAAACGACATTTCTAGGTAGCACATTCTTAAATACACATGCTATCTGACTCAAAGCGAATCGGCGCTAAACTACGCATTTTTGAGCAATTCGTGCGGCCTGTCCTGTTATATCACAAGCCTGTAACTCTCCTGCAGCTTCCAGTAAGGTCAAGGCTACATGTAAAAATGAATGTTATAAAGGTCGTTCAAATGAAAGTTGCGCTGCTGTAATAACTCCGCCATTTGAAGAGAAAGATGACTGCGCATGCACCTATAGAGGGCGGTGAGTGTTGGGATTGAATGGAATATCGTCCGATCCCGCCAGATGCGTGCATCACAGCGCCGGAGCACATTAAGATGCATCGTTCGCATCATGGATGCCTCAAAACAGTGTCAACGCGCGGTCATGCAGTTTTTGACAGCGGAAAGTGCGAAAGCTTCTGAAATCTATCGTCGAATGCAAACTGGGCATGGCATGTAGCATATGAAAATCAGATCAGTATTCCGATGGTGCAGGAATTTTCGTAGTGGAAGAAGCTGTACTGACGACAGACCACAACCTGGTCAAGCGCGTGTGGTGATCACACAGGAAGCAGTTTCAGATGTGGACAGTCTTGTGAAAATAAATCGGTGAATCACCACTGGAGAAATAACGGACGAAATGTGTATGAGCATAGGAACTACGCACACAATACTGCTTCCTGGTGATCACCACACGCGCTTGACCAGGTTGCGTCCTGTCGTCAGTACTGCTTCTTCAACTACGAAAAGTTCTACACCATCGTATCTGCCATTCATACACTACGTGCCATACACAGTTTGCATTCAACGATACATTTCAGAAGCACTCGCATTTCCCGCTGTTAAAAATCGCACGACCGTGCGTTGACACCGTTTGGGACGTGCTCCGATGCTTTGATACAAGCATCTGGTGGGATCAGAAATCGCACGACCGTGCGTTGACATCGTTTGGAGGCATCCCTGCTGCAAACGATGCCATACCTCTTAACGTGCTCCGATGCTTTGATGCAGACGTCTGACGGGATCTGACGATATCCCATACAATCCCAGCAGTCAATGCCCTCTATTAGGTGCATACGCACTCATCTTTCTCTTCAAATGGCCCACCAGCGGCCGAGCGGTAAAGTCGCTGAACACTGGTAGTTCGGTCCGAGGTTCGAATCCCGCGAACGGGCTGGCTACATGGGCGTTTTCGTGGTTTTCCCCATGTGTAACGTGTATACGAGCCAGTTTCCCTTAGAAAGTCCTCCACGAAGGCATCCCTCTTCTTAGGTAGATAGCCCTAGTGTGCTTTGCCATAATTAAATACACACACACACACACACACACTTTCTCTTCAAATGGTGAAGTTATTACAGCAGTGCCACTTTCATTTGAACAACCCTTATACCAATACTGATTATTGTGTTAAGTGAGGATATATGATCTCCTCATCTTTATGTAATTGAATGTCCCCTAATGAAAAAGTATCATATTCAGTTTCTTGCAGGTAGTGACATTTCTTTCAAAAGATTCTTTAGTAAACAAAAAATCTTGTTCTTAAAATTTGTAAAATAATGAATTTATTTTCTGCATTGGAACAAGATATTTGTCAACCAGCTTAAAAATGCGGGTGTAATAGCTGCATGTTTACCTCTTCTTTATTATTTTTTTTCATTTTATATATGAGCTTACACATAGCAACTTCCTTTTATGGGCATAAGTCGTGAAGGCTTTATATTAAGATATGACTTTTCTGAAAGATGTTCGATTTTATGAATGCTTGATCGAACTTTATAGACTTCATGAATTGTGAATTTTATTTTTAATACTGTTATCCTCTATTTTAATTTTTCCATATTCATGTACATATGTTTCGAAATTTATGCATTTAAATAGGGAAAATGTAAAAATATTTTACAATAAAAAACCCAGTTAATTATGCATATGTTACAATACCTGTTAACCACTCGTAAAACTAGGTTTCCTCGTTCATGGCCAAATTAGCATCTTCAAAAAAGAATTTTTTACCACCATCCTCATCTAATTATTTAACCTAATGCTATTGTTAGCATTATTATTTCCTTGAATGAGATAAAGGAAGTATTGTGATAGTGGAAAAATTTCGCGTATTATATTTCAACGGAAGTAACACTTTTGACCGTTCTCAAATTCATCTAGACGATTTTTTTTTTGCCTGACATCTATATTTACGGAGAAAATAAAGGACTCTTTTTCCGAAAACGAATTGTAAAATGTAGTAAGAAGTGATTTTTTTCGTGACGTCTGTACGTACGTATGTATGTATGTATCCCGCATAACTCAAAAATGATTAGCTGTAGAATGTTGAATTCGAGAAAATGAATTTAAATGAACTGCAGCTAGAGGTATGTATAATTTAATAAACCGTACAATAAAGTGGAGTCCAGATCAGATTTTTTGTATTACTATTTAATATTTGCTTGCAAATTTGCTCTGTTGTGGGAAAATATGGAGCTAATTCCCAAGTCACATTACCTTTATATTTTTATTTTCTTAGATTCCCCTATGAGTTCTCAGCCCGTAACTCAACATGTTTCCGCTCCTGTTACTAAGCCACCTTCACAAACATCGGACAAGCCGGGAGCTCCTAATGCTTGCCCCGAGTGTGGAAAAACGATTATGTGAGTTATTTTTGTATATAAATTCGTAATAATTTATACAAAAAATATACCAGAAAAGAATTAATGCGAGCCAGAGGATACAAACAGACTCTGTAATGAAAGTATCTTAAAATATATCTTTGTTTTCGGGTACGAACTTGAAAATTGTTAAGAAGACTTTCATGCAGTGCTGCTACAGTAAAGCGTTTAAAGTTTAATTTTAATAAAACTTACCTCGAAAATGTCCATAACGCTGAGTAATTAAATAGCGGTTGGAAAAGATTAAGGTAGCTTGATATTATCTTTTTTAATTCACTAATCAAAAAGTATTTTATTGATTGTTTCGCGTTTTGTTAAAAAAAAGTTGTTATTTAATCAAATAACTGTTAAACGAACTTTGTATCGAATAAGAGGAAATTTTGCAGGAAGCATGCATAATACATGTATTACAAATTTTATTTATCAATTATAATAATGATACAAATCATAAAATATTACATACATTGTTAGCCCATTAGTCTCCAAGAGGGATTTTGCGTCAGTTCGCTGTAAACGGCGCATCAATTTATTGTTGCCAGCAAATATTGCTGCTCTGTTTTATTTTTAAAGAAACTAAATAACAAATAATATGCATATATGTGTGTACGTTCTTCGCATTGTGAAAACACGACGCTAACTTTAGCTATCAAATTTTGAATAACGTAGTCCTCCGACCGAATGGAGCCAGTTTCCCTTAGAAAGTCCTCCACGAAGGCATCCCTCCCCTTAGGCAGATAGCCCTAGTGTGCTTTGCCATAATTAAATACGCACCAACACCTCTGACCGAACATGTATACCTGGAAGCTGATTTTTGAATTTAGAATTTATTTTATTAATTATTTCATATTTTCGGAAAACTTAATAAATTTTTTATTAACAAATTCGACGATTTGGAGTGACTTTTCAAAATAACACGTTTTTTATCTCCAGCACCCCAGACTGTTTCCATTCAGCAAAATGTAAGATATTTTCTTTCAGTTTTAATTAATAAACTCCCTTCTATGAAAGCAATATGTTGCCGCAGCCGGCAATAAAATAGTATTATTTTCCACGCGCCGGTGTGTTGCCATTCAACAAAGCCTAAATACTTTCAAATTTAATCTGGAAGATTATTGAATAATAAACTAAGCGATTTGAAAGCAATAAACGCAAGAATAATACATAACAATACTTGAGAAAAATTTTTCTACTTTTTAATGTGATTTAAATCAACATGTATTAAAATCGTGAGGTATCTAATTAGATATATTTAATATTTTTAGGAAATGACACTAGATAGATTTATTAAAATCATTATACACTTTTTCTTTACTTAGGATAACTGTTTTAGGCGGTTGGCTGCACGAGCGGCTAGTTTTTTAAATAAGTAAAATAGAGAATATAAAAATATGTATGGCAACTTCTAACACTCTCTCGGGAATTCTAAAGATATGCTGTTTTTAAATAGTTGTCATTATGCTGTTGAATTGAATTTTATGTAGTGTAACGTGATATTTAATAAATAAAGCTAACACATAAAATTAGTAACAATAAATAAATAAGTAAATAAAAAGACAAAAAAATTGTTATGTGTTTTCGAGGAAACTTAATATCGATATGATGAACTGAGGAAAGAATAAAAAAAATCGAAAAATGTATTCCAACATTTAACATTGCATCAGGAATTATAACATAAAAGCTGCTATGCAGCTTTCCAAAATTTTCTGATTTTTTTTTCCGGGGGGGGGGGTTGAACTGTGTGTAGCGTAAGTGCGAAGAAAACGATGCATTAATAATTAAAAAAAAAGAAAGAAAGAAAGATTATCTGGAGTGAGTGAAAGAGCAGACTGATAGTGAGTGAAAGAACAGACTGATAATGAGTGCAAGAGCAGACTACCATCCATGTACTAGTTGATTATTGCGATAGATGCTATAAAAACTAATGGACACTGATTAGGCACCATAGCGTAGCGTAATTTGGCATGAAAAAAATGGAAAGAGGAAATACATGTCTGACGATTTACCTTAATATTATTCTTGAAAGAGTTTCGATGCAGAGAGAGATGAAAGTTGTTTATGGTGATAAGTAAGATTAAAATTATGATGAAAATGAGGATGATGATGATGAGGATAATAATAATAATAATAATATCACATAGAGTTTCTAGTAATGTTTTAGTATGTTATGATCTTTATTTATTTTAAATAATAGAATAATTCAAAAACTTACACTTCATTTTTTATGTCAAGAAATGTATTTATAATACAACTAGAAAACCCGACGGTCATACGAAATGACCGCTGTTCTATATATTACAAATAGTAATTAAAATTATTTGTGCAAAGGTGTCTGCTAATTCAAGCTGAATTACCCAGGGCAGGCGGCGAGGACGCCCCTTTGCTTACTGCCCCACGGGGTGTCCCCCTTCTACTTGCTTAATTGCTTAAAGTAGAGTGCAATGAAGGAAACCACTGGCGGTACATTTCTTAAGAGCCACCGCTAGCTCAATAAATATAGGTGATTTAAATAATGAAATGCTAATTCACATGTCAAAGATCTCTTTGTACGCAACATTTCTTGTGTAGATCTTTCCATCATTTTTAAGCTCGCCTTGCAGAGGGCCATCCAATATTTTTAATTTTACGTTCGTTCTTTCGCGAACTCTTGAACAGGCCACATAAAGTTGGCCGTGTCCAAATGCAGGCTCAGGTAAAAAAATGCCAACACGCTTAAGCGTTTGGCCCTGAGACTTATGGATGGTTATAGCAAAGGCAAGTTTTACAGGAAATTGTCTACGTCTCAGTTGAAACGGCAACTCTGTGCCGTGGCAACTTCACCCCATTGGCTAGTACAGTTAACGCAAGCAACCCATAAAAAGACACTTAAGCCGCATATAATACAGATATTTATTTATTTATTTCATTTTATTTGTTTTTTCTTCATTGCCGGTTGCATATTTCCGAATTCTATTACATATAGATGTTAAATTTATTTATTAAATGTTAAACGCACGTTCTCTTGTATTTTTAATTTTCCCGGCTTAGCTTTCTCATAATATTCGTCACGCGCTGCACTGCACGGGGAATAAAACAATTTACAGTTACACAAGCAACCAATAAACTATCGGCGACAAACACTTAAGCCGCATGTATATAAGATGTGATGGAGATTTATCGCGTTATTTTCAAGATAATTATTTAAACTTTTGTCCTCTTTAAACATTTGTCTGAACAATTGGTTCCTTGAAAGCTGACATCTGCTGTTTGGCTTTTTAATGACTGTATAACCTTTGTTTGCACCTATTCACTATTTGCGAATTTTCAGTCACTCAAATACAAAAGCCTGGACAGTTTCTGAGACTGTAACTCTGCCACTATACTGAAGCATTTCATCAGCTTTCTGTGGAGTGTCTTCAGCTATCGGCATTGAAGGCTTTAATTGCTATCAGTGCCGATCATCAATCACCCATTAGCATGGGTCAAATCTGTGTGCTGATATGCAAACTGCTAGTATTATCTGATCATGGATGGAATTACTATTGCCCTGCGTAATTCCATCTGTGTTACATATTAATATCTAAGAATCGTAATATTTTTCGTTCTACAGTTCTGGAATAAGCTTCCAGTTAACGCATTGTTTTACTTTCATGATACCTCAAATGGATCCATAATAAGGCATAGACATAAGTCTGTGAAATGACCTCCTTGGCGTGCAATACTGCTACAAGATACGACTGTTGCAACTTACTTTTTCAATCTCTACTGTATATTAGTATTAACCTGAAAAAGCTATTGGTGTCGAAACACGATTTTGAGTTGTTTCACTTTTGATTCGAGTCTATTGTCATTTGGCAAAACGTAAAATATTCAGCTTTTGAATTGAATCTGTCTGCTGTGGATTAAGGTACTTAAAAACAATAGATGCAGTTCTTTTTTTATTTTCCTTTTTCTTTTTGATTTATATAAAAATGCTTTTATTCGTGATATACCTAATTATAAATTATGTTCATTTAATAGCATATGAAATGTTTAGCTGTTCCTTTTTTTATTGATAATCTGTACTGATAAACCATATTAAACTTTAAAAGAATCATATTGAGCAATCATTAAAATCTGAACACTTTTAGATTTTTTTTTCTGGTGTATGTGGAGTAGTATGGAAATAATTCTGAATTGCACTGTTATTGTAGAAGTTTTACCTCGATGTTAAAAAACTCGCGTAAAATCATTTCACAGACGTGAAATTTAGAATAACTGAATTTTACAGTTAAAACAACATTATCGTACTTTGTTTAGAAAAAAAATGTATGAATTTATACCATCCAGGACAGCGTAGTTCCTATTACAGCGCCCACCAGCGGCCGATCGGTAAAGTCGCTGAACCTGGAGTTCGTTCCGAGTTCAAATCCGCACTGCTGGCTCATGGGCGTTTTTCGTGGTTTTCCCCAGTGTACGTGTAACGAGCCTTTTCCCTTAAAACCCCACGAAGGCATCCCTCCCCTTAGGCAGATCAGGAGTAGGAAAGAGGAGGGCCAACCCGCGCTAAAAGTGAAGCACTGCTTTGAAGCTTGGGTCACCAGATGGGGTGTTCTTTGTTTACATTCAGAAGCTCGCTTGACAAGATTCTGATAGTATTTCGACACACGACAGTTCCATAGAAATCGAAAAAAAAGGGACACTTTCGCATGAAAGAAACATTCATAGTGTGATGGATAATAGCAATTTGTATAGTTTACTGACATTTACGCAAAAATCACTCTTGGTTATTTTTCGATAACTAACAACAGCGATTTTGATTATGAATTTGTTTTTATAAAATTCTAAGCTGTTTACTACAAAAATATAGATTTTAAGAAAAATCTATGCTTAAAGAATGAAAAATATTCCTTACGGTACATTTAAACGAAAAATATAGTGAATGCACATAAATTAAAGATTTGCACATGCCGGAAATGATAAATAGGAAATATGGTATGGGTATTTATGCATGTGCTTGCAAAAAGCATGTATCTCTGCCTTTGACAAAAATACTTAAATATTCATTAAATTATTTATAAATGTATTTGAAATGAAGAATTTATTCACTTATAAACAACTGTGAAAGTACTGTGAAGAAATCTAATGATTAAATGTATCTAATTTATAATGATTATAAATGTTATCTAAATATATAATAACCTTAATATTGAATTGTAAACATAAATTGAAATCCTGTTGACAAATACGTTATAAAACTATTTAAGCAAGAATTGTTCGTAAGCAATCTGTTAAAAGGTATTGTAAAGCAAATGCTATGAGATGCGCACTTAAGAACGTAATAAAGAGTTTTGGAATATGTATTGTTGAAATGAAGGGTAAAAAAAAAATCTGATAAGTATAATTAAAAGAATTATTCCCCTTACATTTTATAATAACTCAGTTACAAGTTTTAAATAATACTTAAAAAAAAAACTTAATTATTTTATTTCCCTTTCAGAAATGTTCAGAGAAAGTCAAGTACTATTTAAAGTATTTCGCTAATTCCTAATAATTCTCTAATTTAAAATGAACCGAATAGAAGCATTAATTATAAATTGACTTACATTTTTCGATTTAAAAGAGCCTCAAAGCCAAAAATCATGTCATATTTAAGAAGTATTTTAGGAAGAAGCTCTATAAATAGAAAAGAAATAATGCATAATTTTAATATAATACAATAAACTTTGATCTTAATTTTGTACCTTAACCGAATAAAATCGAATTACCTTAATTTTTTTTTTCCTAATGTAATTAACGAAAACTTGTGAAATATTTCATTCAAATTAAACCATTCTGAGAAAACTGTCCTGTGAAAAGTATAGCATTTAATTCCGTTCAGAATGAAATGTTTGTTTAAAAATATGTTTGTTTTCACATACTTAGGACTCTGAAGTGTTGTAGAAAAAGAAATATATACATTTATATGTATATTTGCGACGTTATTACAAAATATTTACATCCGAACGCGTCAAATCCCATAGAACTCAATGGTAAATGACCCAATGGTTTGGTCACCACGTAGGGATCGCCGGTGCTTCAGAGCAGGGTACGGGAGAAACTTGTTTAGGGGACTCCATCTTACTTCCTACCTCCATGAGGCAGATAGCCCTCGAGGCTTTGCCATATCACACACACACACACACACACACACCTCCTATTATAGTGCTGTAGGAGTTGAAAGAATCATTTGACCATTCAGTTCGATGTTTAATTTTGAGAAAAAGGCATTTGACATGTCTCACCTTCAGACTCCATTGTTTTCTCTTGTGAGGATAGTTTAACGGGCTCAGTGTTTTCAAACATTCAAAATATCCAAAGCAGCGCAAAGGGACAAACACCAAAAAAGGTATTTTACGAGTATTTAAAAGAATGTCAGTAACTCTGGAGTGTATGTGTTTCCGATTGATGTTACTTCGTAAGTGATTAGATAGTAATTATACAAGCATAATTTTTTGAATGTAGGAATATCTCAAGTACTTTTAAATTTAAAAATAAACTTTATTTTTACATGAAAGAAAATACAGAGTATTTTAAAGTAAGATGCTTAATACAAAATATCCGTTACCTAAAATTGCTGCTTGTAATTGTGATTTTAAGTTATGAAGTATCATATGCATATGTTACGGTGAAACACCGAAATCTGGAGAATGTCGACTTTCACCGGTGAATGTCAACATTCACATAGTCTCTTGGTGTATGTCCGAAATATTTTCCAAATTCTCTTATTTCTGACTTACCCTGTCAATGTCGACATTCCCATGTACTAATTTGAATGTGAACATAACGATTTATTTTTCTTCTCCGTCATTCAGTTTCGCGAATAAACGCACTTGAAACTTGAATAAGAACTAAGAACATGAACCTAAACAGATACATTCAAAAGAAAGGGAAATAATAGAAGTTAAAACTTTACTTATTATACAGTACGTTCTAAATGAGAAATAAAATAACAGTCATAAAAACTTACTAAATTATGTGATTCAAATCTTATTTATTGCCCAACTTAAAATATTATGGCACTTTATTCTCTCTCTTTTCGACTTTCACCAGAGCATATCTGTGATTGTCGACATGAACCGGTAAGGGTACAAATATACAAGAGTGTAGTAAAATATTCGGTCTTTCACCGACGTATTTGGTGAATGTTGATATTCTCCGGTGAAAGTTGACATTCTCCAATTTCGGTCTTTCACGGTAACACATATTTTCTTTTTAATTCACATTTTTCTTTTTAATTCACATATTTTCTTTTTAATACCGTTGTCAAAGCAAAATATATCTTTTAAATTTTATTTCAGAGGAGTATTTGTTAGAATAAAGGACAAATCCTTACATCCAGAATGCTTTAAATGTAGCACATGTGGAACATCATTAAAAAATGTTGGTAAGTTATGCTTCATTTGACCATAATCTGTAATAAAACTAACAACAGAATATATGCAACTCCATCACATAACTTTTCTTCTCTCGTAACAGGTTATTTCAATGTAAACGATAAACTTTATTGCGATGCTCACGCCAAACTTGCTGCCAAAATCGCCGCTTCGACGCCAACGTACGAACCTCTTGTTATAAGCCAGTAAGTATAACATGTAGTATGTCATTTTATAAGCGGGATCAAACTTCGTATCAATAGGAATCACATGAAAAAATCAGAGTATGTCAGAGAGCCGCAACTAAGATTTCTAGGAACAGCAAATAGATTTTTTATGCCTTTTAAGAGATTCTCACATTTTATTAAACGATTTTAATTATAATTACGGAAATATTTTACCAAAACTTTTTATGTTTTAAATGTTCTGTTTGATAACCCTTATTCTGTACTATCTTTATAACCCGTGATTTCTAAGACAATAAAATATTCTTTTACTAGCCGAAAAGATATTTTAAACTATTCCTCTTGAACAGCTTTCCAGAGTCTAAGGAGATTGTAAGTCGACGTTTGGACAACCCACAGTTTTAAATTCCTAAAGTGCAAAAATACATTAGTGATAAATGAGAAGGTTTAGTAAGTATATCAGTGAAGGGTATGGCCTTGATACCTATTTTTGTTCCAATTTTCCAGAAAATCAGAAAATTAACAGTGGATATTGACGTGTTAATGCTTTCTTTGTCTTGATGCAGTTTTACTGATTGATCCCATTGTGTGTAAAGAGAAGGTATTTCATATTTGAAAATTGGGTATAAAATATGATTTTGATAATATATGGAGTTGGTCTTAACATTTTTCTCCACTCTCTTTATTTTAATTTTCTGTTATATGAAAAACCAGCAACAATTATAAATCCCTTCAACAAACTTTCTTTAGATTCCTTGAACCATGTTTTAAGAAATTTTTCTCCTCATTGATTAATAAATGGATCTCTTTTTATTGTAGTCATTTAAGCACACCCAAGTTTCG